TGCGCAGTAACGTCTGTCTGCTACGAGCCGATATCGGCCGGGCCGCGGCCGGCGCTGGCCACACTGTATCAATACCTACTGCATTGTGTACACAACCAACAAAGCTTTGTTCTTCGTCCTCAAATTAACTTTATGTAGATATGTAGTAATGTAGCACGTGCAAATATACTATGCTCATTTGTACATATTTGTGTTTATGTCTGCCTGTCTGAATGATTAACTTACCATGATTATTATTATTTTCCTCATTAAACCATCTACGAATAATAGAATTGCTATTATTATAAAAACTTCCTATGTCTAAACTAGTCCGAAAGTCCTAATTGACTTTGTTTTGAGGGAATACTCGTTATTCCTGAATAAAAGAGTAATGCTTATCGTAAATTTCTTTTTAAATTCTTACACACACTACACCATTAGAGCTATAAATTTTTGACTACACTTTGTTGTAGTTATTTCGGGATTACATCGTAAATGAATGAAAAGCACCAAAATTAGCACTAGGATTACATAAAAACAACACAACAAACAAGGGGATAAATCTAAAGCTGGATCCAGACATGCAACATGTAGCTATACCGCATTGTTAATTCCAATCGCAACAGGGGAGTGGAAATTGGCACTGACGGGGCACAAACAAAAAGCAAGCGCTTTGTTGTGTATGCAGGAGACGAGACGACGAATTTTCGGCTGCAGTAGCGGAACCAAGAGTTCCCCATTCAAAGGCTTCATAATGCGTATTACTTAGCTCTATCAATGTGCGTATAAGTAAACATCGTTGCTTACTCCTTTATGAAGTACCTGTCTGTACGATATTGATTCTACACAGATTGGGATTCTTTCCATTAGAACTCCATTGGGTTTTTTGTAGATTATGTCACAAAAATTCTTCACTCAGTAAATTCCCATGCGCTGGCATGCACCGATTCTAAAGTGAGCAATTTCGAAAATTTTACCTTCATTCTCACGTTGATTATTCAATGAAATTACAATTAGTTATTATAATTTAGCGTTATGAGTCATTTTACTACATTTCCCGACATTTTTGCCGTAATATGCAATTAGTAGTAAACGTTGTTGATTAATTACCGTGTAACACGTTTGACAGCCATTTAGAATACTAATATGTTTCGCTTGAAAGAGTAAATGGCTAAACGGTCAGTCAGCACTCACACATGCATAGGTCGTCTATCATCCACGTCAATTACCACTTAAATGATTGAGGCTTCTTCCTAGTTGCGCGACAATATTGATATAAGTACCTGAGTCGGTCATTCGTCTTCGTTTGATAGACAGTCGCCCTTAATGTGTTAACACTAATGTCCGGCCTAAATGATTTGATATACTTTAATTAGCAGGTGTCATTTATTACCTATTAATTACATACTTACCTTTGTAACAGATACGGTAAACACTGGTTTTTGCGCTTTACTTTAAAACAAGTTAATACTAATTCTTACTTACTGTTCGCTGAGCATTTTGAAACACAATATATCTCATCTTTCGTAAAAGATCTAACGATTTCTATAATAAAATAATAAAAACTCTTGGAATTTCTGTTATGTTACCATAAGCCAGTCAGTAAACTAGGCTAATGACTTATTTCAACGGTTTTATCGTAAATCTACAAGTAATTTTATCACCTATACATGTCGTCTCGTGATAATGCAGGCTGTCTGGAGATTTGATATTAAATTGTATTTATAAGCAATCCCTTACATACAAATCATGTTAGGACAAAGGCAACTTGTTACATTTATATGATAATATATCTTTAGCATCAATATTGGTAATGTACACATTGGTTATGGCAAGTACATTAGCCCACTTATTTCCGAAACAAAGCGTCTCTTTATTGATAAAGTCTGTTTAATTATTTGCACGAACATAACATATCTTTCCGGGGAACGAATATATCTTTGTTAAATTGTATTTAATATGTATAGGAAGTATATAATATACCTACATTGAACACTTTGTATGTTTGTTTACCCATAATGTTATCAGTCTGCGAACTGATTTGCTGTTTTATTATAAGAAAGTTGATTTTGTTTATCGCGTCGTAGTGGTGGTGACTGCTGACTAATTGCTGTGATTGCGAAGGCTTCTATAATCCTTCGGCGATAAGCTGGCGAGACCGAACGACTACTATTCGGAACAAAGACGTGTGAACATTATCTGGATAGGCACAAAGTCCGTTGGCAAGGGAGAAATGGGAGATAACAACAATATATATACTCACAAATTCGATACTCGTTTTGTTCTTACGTAACGTTTAATTCCATCAGTGCACGCTAGTACGTGTTCCACTCTCGGCAGTAACAACTGGTTCATTATTAACAGCATCCTGCGATACTCGACTATATCTGAATGGACCTTCGCTCGTTCAACTAAGTACTATGTACAACCTTCTTGTATGTTCAATGTTCAAGTCATAAAAGTACGAGCAATCATAGAAATATTAAAATGACAGACTGTAAGGAGTTTTAATAAACAGTTTATGGTCAATGAAAATAATAATAATGGAAGGATAATTATGAGATCAATGAACCTCTTAAGAGGACAGACTAGTATTAAAAACAAGTCGTAGCCAACATGCTGTTTCTTCCATGTTAATAATAAAATTTAAGCTCTAATAAAAGGAAATGACTGGACTCAATGGCGACGTATTGCTATACATTAAACAAGTTTTGTTTTATATTGTTCTTTTTGTTAAATTCGACGTTTTGTGCATAGATAATACAAAAAGCAGGTAACGAAAATAGACTAGGAGTTTTGGTCTTTTAAGTATTGTTAAGCTCTCCTAACTGTTCAGTGCATAGTTTTAGTAAACCTTCATTTTAAGAAATGGCCTTTGTTAAGGGGATCGTCAATAGACTTCTCTTCTTGGGTTAGGCGAGACGGAGTGTCAGATTATTACTGACGACTGACAGTGACAGTGTTATGACTGACGTCAACAGCCTATTACCCGTAGCAACCCTTTGTTAGTAATTTTAAACGAAAAGATCTTCAACACTTCAAGTCTAAAATAATCCATTCCTCCTCCATTTTATTGGCCCGGTCCTTAAAAATCGCGTAGGTATATAAGTGAAAAATAACGTGAGTACTGTTTTTGATAGTGTAGTAAGAAAAACATCTTGACATAGCACCTAATGACGTGATATGTTTCGGCACTGACCTAATCGGAGCAAATCACAATGTCACCACACGTCATGTTTGCATCACACTGTATTTCCGTAGCGCGAATAGATATGATTCACGATATCACAAAGCAACAGCTAAACAATTATTTATAATTGTTGATTTATTACCTTTAATACTGAGTATTATATCATGAATTTGACTTCAATGAATTGTTTGATGTTAATTACCTTTTTTAATAAACCTTTTTGACTCATATAGACATAGGTGTTATTTTTTTACAGAAAAACGTGTGAGGAACAACTAAGTAATATTATCTTCGTAGTTAGCTTGAATCTATTTTTACATGACCTATGTGACCTGTTGTGGGTGATTGTAAATCTTACATAAGTATTAGCATAATCTGTTTGTGTTCTGAGAGAATGTCTTACCATATCTATTTGTGCTGGTTGCACGAAATACACACAATAATACGTAGAGATACGTGAGTAAGGAATTGTCTTGGTTATAAGAATTTAACCTATGTAATTGTGGCATATGATTATATTCAAAGGATTCTCTATAATTTTGTTATCATTCTATCATTGAACAAAAACGAAGAATTTCACCTTTATATAGCTAAAACTTTTTAGTTGATTTTCTTCTATTAAATGATTGCCAAGTGGAAACCAACTGCATATTCCAGTAGCAGTAGTCTCAAAGGAGTTTGGCATCGGTCACTTTAATAAATTGTATTGTGGTCAAGCATTCCACGACCGGCATACATGTACATATTGAACTCTAATTTGAATTTTCAACACCGGCGGCCATTGCTCCTCGCATGCGTTTACACTATGACGCCCACCTATTTTCAGCTGCGCCACGCTTTAATATAAATCTTGTTCCAAAACAAACGCGAATATTGCTCCTCTATTCGATCAAAATATTTACGAATGTCACATTGTAGATGTTACGCAAATAAAATGCTCCTCCACAAACTAGTCTAGAGGGCAAACTAAACAGGACAATGATACGCGATTAGGTAGGTCAATGTGCCTAACCAACCGAGATGGTAAATAAAAATATTTGTTTTACTTATCAAAATAATCCTTAGTACTTTCGATTAGATAAGGATAGGAATTAATAGTAATGAAATATGTATCCTCGATTACCCACCGATAAAATGAAAGCTGTAATCTAGCTAAAAAGTACTAAATAATAAGTTTCTGTTACCAAACAAAGCTACAAAACAGCACATGTATCAACATTCAACACGCACCTAATTCTTTCTCATACAATTATCAAAACAATGGTTTCGCTACGTTAGCAACTAATTTTTATGTAAGTAGCTATTATGACATGAATAAGTACATAACCTAATGACCTACTTTCTTAAGTATTAATACATTGTACATTTGAGCAGATAGTACACGTTCATATTGGTACAATGTACGGGCGCTAACCGCGTGACGTAGATGGTACGATGCATCTGTAGTGGAGATAACGAGAGATAACAACAAATAGTTGTTACATAACAATCTAATAGTATCTAATATATAACTTGCGTGTTCCAACGACAATAAACTGAGCAATAATAGACAATTAATTTCTTAAAACTACTCGTAAAAGTATGCCAAGAAAATATAGTTGCATAAACTGAACATTATGTATGTTGACTACCAAATATTAGAGGATCGTTAGATGTGTACCTGCATCAGCACTCGATACAAAAACGAATACACTTGAAGAGACGTTGCACTCCGCTTTCTCAAAAATGTATCGTTTAAAATTCGAGTGTACAACCATGAGTAAGTGAATAGGAATTTTGTGGAGTCCCGTTTCAGGTAGAGACAGCCGTGTAGACAGAAAGACTCACTGACCTTATCAAAGGTGATGACCGGCGTCGCTGACCCTATGGTGCCATCCTTTTTCTTCTCAATCTTGTAGACAATGATGTGATTGTCCCGCACGGTGTGAACGATAAACGCTTTCGAGTCAGGGCTCCAGGCGACGTGGGACGCGTAGTCAAATTCGATGTTCACACGCAACGTTTTGTGTTCTTTCTGGTTTAGATCCCGAATGTCCCAGAGGATCACGGAGCCATCTGAATACAATACCTATTGGTTATTAAACGCTCTCAGACGGCCCTCGTGATTATTGGCACGTCTACTACACCAAATTCTAAGAAATATAAAATCAATACCTTTGAGGTCATGGAACCTCTTCAGGTTCGACATCAAGGAGAGTGAAGTCACCCCAAAATGCTGTTCGTTACCGTTAATGTTTTACAAATTCTATTGTTCGTGAAAGTATTCAAACGGTGTCATTGTGTGTACTGACTGAAATGTCAAATATCTAATAGGTACGAATATATTAATGACTACGGAGTTCATATTTTTATATCTCTATATTCGAAGTGTTACATTCATTTTAGTGGATTAAACTGTTTTAGTATTTTAAGACTTTGACTGCCAATAAAAAACTGTTGAAGGTAAATCCTCCGCTAACGCCGGTCACCGGTGACCCCCATGGCGTTTAACGTGTTAAAATTAAAGAAGTTTAGATGCAGTTCATATGTTTTATGTTAATGAATTAATCTGTATCATCTGTATCCAAAAAATACTTTTCTGGGAACAATTCTTGGTAAGTACGTATTCATAAATACATCGTGTTATACGTGAAAAGAAGGTCATATGGTTAGATGGATATCTCTATATAGACATTATAATAATTCAGGTTTAACCAACTTGGCTTCCCGCGAGAACTAATTATAAATTATTATCAATTATGTATGAAGTCGTTCCTTTTTGAATAATATTATGTAGGGAGTAATCACTTAAATAGAGCTACTATCATATAGTTAGATAATGATGTTCTTGCGGACAAAGTGTAGCATTGTAGTGCACTATCAAAGTAGGTAAAACGAATTGAGCTTGCAACAATGAGCTAACCAGTAAAAGGTCAACGGACCACTTGAGATATCGAAACTGAGTCACTGTATCAAGGCCTTATGATTTCAGGCTCTACGAATCTGTTCCCTGCCGCGAAACATTAAGAGGCAACAAATTCATGGTTATCTTGACAATACCAAATATAAACTTAGAATGCTTACTTGTAGTTACTATTATAAAACAGCCTTGGGTGGTACATAAATAAATATTGTCAATTCAGGAAACGTTTTGACTAACATTGTTTAGTGTAATTGAAAAAACGTACATAGGCACCTGACTTAGTGACCTACACCCGAATAACAGTATAATGTAGAAATAAATTGCGAACGCGCGCTCATAGTTACTTTGCACCCGCTTTAACAGATGCAGCACAACACCAGTGCATATCCTTGTATCTTGTTAAATAATTCATGTCACGATGCTCCGTCTATATTCTATATCCTAGCAATTAAAATATTGCCTGAAGATCCGTAACGATTATTTTTTTCTTTTATTACGAACGCGTTTAACTCTTTTCGTTCATTGGCCTTTTCGAGCACCAAAAACTAGGAAGTGTTGGCACTGTTGGTGGCGTGATAAAAACTATATTTGTATATAATATAATACATTACATACAATAGCCATCTTGTAGGTATGATTGTTCCATAGGTACATATTTTTGTGTATATTTAAAATAATCATGACTTCTTGGTTCATACATACATAATGAACCCACTGATTCTTATCCGAGACAAAAACTCGTCTGTGTCAGTAATACTCGTACCAAATTCAAGGTCCAATGGCATTGTCAGTCTGGTTGAGGCCAGCCACCATCGCGATTCTTTATGTAGGCAGAAGGCAGTTACACATGTACCACTACCAACAAAGCGCTTAATTCATTTAAGATTTCAATCATTTAGTTAAATGATCACAGACATTACCTATTGTTTGTGATTCATCGGTTTGTAGACTAGTCATCGTGTTAATGAGTTCAGTGACATTATATTTTTCAAAATTCAAAATCAAGTAAATCTGGATAGTAAAAAAGTTAGAATAGTAAGTAGAATATGTTCACCTTATACAAAGCGTCTATGAATAAAGTATTGCATGGTGAGGTCCACGTAGGCGTGTCGGAGTGTGGCCGGTGACGAAACAACGCCTCATTTTGTGCAAGTAATATTGTGAAAGAGGTACCTATTGACGCGGAGGCGAGTCCAACGACGGCGCCATGGAGGCCACCTCAATGTACTGTCAATACCATTATGCAGAAGTCACCTCTACATTACGTATAATGTTAAACCAACGACACTTCAATGTTTCTGGACAAAAACTTTACACACAAACAAGAAATAAATGCTTAATTGCCACCTATTTTGTCTAATGACAGTACCTACTATATGTATCGTCATTCATAACTGAAGGTTAAGAAAAAGATCAAAATTCGTAAACACCAAAAAAATTAATAAATATTTACAAATCAATTGAGTGTTAATGTAATAATTAGTTTCTTCGATTGCAATACTAAACACGCGTTTATCGAGTTTTCGTACAAACCTTACGACACAGCGATTGTAACAATCAGACAACACGAACACGATACGGAGGTTACATACAAACGCCAGCGATACCAACATGCCAGTATCATCCGATTGTACTGATATCAGTATCGGTATCACGGATTCGCACTGTACAATACTTACGTTTCTACCGGTCTATTTTAGGCTGTTCCATTCGATCCGGTGCTGACGTGGCGCGCCTGCTGTCTGCTCTATTTGATGGAACTGGAAATGTGTCTCGCTCACCGATAACCAGCGCGTCATTGTGTTTTTTGTTGATACTAAGAGTCACATCACAAACTATGCTATCATTCATAACAAACCGGCTGTTATTGTATTTGTTTTAAATATTTGACATCATGTTGTAATATGTCGATCGCTAGATAAATAAAGCATCTTGATGAAAATCATTTAGGAAACTAATGTCCTATTTAATTGTTACACTAAGATTAGATAACAAGGTGTGGGTGCATATTAAGAATATGTTAATTATCAGTTAAGGAAATTTTAAATGTCCTTAATGATTAGTGACGTTTAGGTGACCCTGTTTGATTTACTTATAGCTATTATTGTCTGCTTCAGCAAGCAGTGTGGCGCGTAATATTCGCTCGAGTTTGTTGATGTGTGATCTTTTAGTGAATTGAACATAAACGTTTTGGGGGACACTAAACGTAAACACACCGCTCATACAGACGACCGGGCGAGAGGGCGTTGCTCTTTCTTAGCCTGATATACGCAGTATCTTATGTTTTTAACACGATGTTTTGTGATAATATGACAAAACAATACACTAAACACGGATGATTCAAAATTGCTATCTAGCCTATGAATCTATCTATTGTAAATTTGGTATTCATTGTCCCAATTTAAATAGTTTTATAAAGAATTCAGCATTATTACTAACAATTATTACGAATAAATAGACATGTCATAGTTTCATCACTTCTTTATGTAAGAGTATTATGTAAACTGGCTTTTAGTGCACGGTCATTTAATTATATCTGATTAAATAAGCACCTCATTATTATAACTTTAAAGTAGAGCATCTTATTTTGTGATTTAAAATATTGTGGTTAAAAGTGAGATGATTAATAATATAATTCATATACATCATATAGGTCAGACGATCATTGAAAAATTTTACCGGGAAACTACATCGATGCGCGCTGACTCAGTTCTTAAGAATAACTAAATATATGCTGACGCCGAACCTTTAGTCATCAGGAAAATTACATCATTATAATGTGTACCGTATATGTATGTAAATACTGATAATAGTTAACATCATAACAGTCTTAAGGAAATTTCGTTTAATAATCATAAGTTTCCTGTGAAACTAAAGCTACGCAATTGTAGCGTGTTGCCTCTCATTCATGAATCATTGATAGTATTCTTATTATCTCGGAATCTGGGAATCCCTTACGTCATAAAATGTTTAATTTACAGTCCCCAGCAACTACGTACACTGTCAGATGTACAAACTGTATTAGTAAGCGTTTATCTCGATAAATAATAATAGCTGAGCGAGTGAAAAAGTATAGAGTTACATAGCTTAGCTAGCACTGGTTACGAAGTAGAGAAACCTAACATAGTGAAAGTTTTTATGGCTCTACCTACAGTGACACACAAAACACTACCACAATTTAATCTAACGGATTATTAATGTTGAATGTAAAATGGTGTCACATTTAATTTTATTCGGAATGTTTTATATGTTAAGCCAGAACCAAATGCAATGTGTGTAAGTGCATCACAACGTATTTGTTTACATGTTATGATGCTAGTCTGAAGGAGGATTAGAGGTTTATTTATCACTTAATATCAATTGTTCTGTAGTAGTAAATCATTTACATACCATGAATTTTGTGCATTTAGGAGAAGGATAAAACAAAACAAAGTTTTTTATAAAAAAATATCACGTTTATTGCTGTTACTGCAATTCGAAGGCACATACTGTTACAGTACGCGCAGCTCCGTCAACGTGACGAATTTGTCACTTACAAAAGTCCGTTCACACAATATAATTAGTCATGTCCATAGAACAGTCGTCTTACACTTAACACAATACTAAGCACCACTAATTAGCGGATCGTACGGCTGCAGTATGGGGTGCTGGTGCAAAGCGCGTGAACGGCTTGCTCGTTCTTCGTGTACTTTCAGTAGCACTAAATCTAGCGCCGCTCGTGCGTCTTCTACAGGCGAGTGACCAGCGCTTCCGCACTGGACCATGCGACCCAGCACCTCCTCGGAGAGAGCCCGCAACGATCTTCGCATGGGAAAACCCCGAGGATGAGGATACATTGCACAAGTATCCACTACTGCGCTGTGTAAAAGTTTTAGTGCACGTAGGTCATTTTCGAGAGCATGACCAATGAGGATTGTGTCAGTACCCACAAATCCAAGAATGTCATTTTGAACGTCTCTCAACGTCTTAGTCGCGCGCGCCAAGTCGCGCGGCCTGATGCCCGAGAAACGAGTGTTGGGATCCACTACAGGTGAACTGGGTTTTACGAATGATTTATACACTAGTCGTCCATCAGCGGCGATGACCGCAACACAAGCTAATTCCAAGCCTGCAGTTGTGTAACACATTTCTGTGTCCAAGGCGTAAACACCACCGCGAGGAGAACGGGCTCGTACGTATCCTTCGAGGGGCCCATTCATTCCAGGACGAGTGCCACTCCACACATGAAATCGGGCTACGCTGCAGCCTTTAGAACCCACTAATGACTTGCAACACAAATAACGACCGTCACACACACGTCCCCAATGATAAATACAAGTCTCAAATTTAGTATACTCCCCATCGCGTGTCATTCGGAACTGTCGATCACATCTCACACATGTATGTTCTACGGTGTCGGCTTCTTCGTCACTGTCAGATCGCGGGGTCGAACCCCATGACCCACGACCGCTGTCACCCTGTGAACCGGGTACAAACTCCGGAGCGTTGACATCCCAAGAGGTAGGCAGAGGTCTAGGTCGAGGCGGCGGATTAATATACACCACTGCCTTCGAAGAATTTGGCTCGAGTTCCAGCGGATAGCCAAGAGTCCACATCCTTTTTGGAGACAGTATATGATGCTGGAGTGCTTCCTTCAATTCTTCATTGGCGATTCTCGTCGGCGTCGACGGCGTCGGCGGCGCGGACGGGGGGCGGCGTCGATCACGCGGCTTGCGCCGGCGTGATGCTGCGCTTGTTGTATCCGTCCCAACTGTTGACACAGTTTCTTCGTAAAACCAATTTTGTAAGTGTAAGCAGAAATGATGCATGCTTGATTGTTTATCGCATTCATTTAAAAATTAAAATCGAGATAGAGCGCGTGTCCGGAGCAGACGAACGTGCTATCGCGCGCGCGGCCGCTGTACTAATGACGCGATGGTGGGGCAGCCTACGCTTTATACGATACGTGCAGGTAGCGCTCGTTTGTTAACGGGACACACAAATCGACCGGCCTATTCTCATTTTTCTAAACAATAAAAGCTTTAATGTTGTTATTAACTAAAATGCTATTTTGTAAATTGAAGGGTAACAATTAAGTGAAGACATTTAGTTAAGTACTTCTAATCCTTAAAGTTATTATTGAGAAAGTCCCGCGCGCTTTGTTTACATAGATCAGCTGATGTTCCGCGTGGTGTTTATAAATAAAAACGCCACATGTTTTTTAAGATTTTTTTTTTGTGAAACACATTGTATTACATGCAGTTTTAGGACGTTCATGCATGGTTATTGTAAACAAAAGTATTAAAACTGATTTTAGAATGTTTTTGGAAAACAATGTAGATTACTTTGATCGATATTGTTGATTGACAGTGTGGTATATTTATGTAAGAAAATAAGTAAATTGTTGCTTAGTACAGGCGGTAGCGGAAGGAAGGACGGTCGTTGTCCTACCCTGACTCCGTTGTATGAGAAGAATGTATTTAATTAAACTCTCCATTTGTTTATTGTTTATATACAATCTGAAGGGGGCTCAATAAATATAGGATAAATCTATATCCTTCGTACTCCCATATAGACGTAGGCAAGAATTGAAAAATTTTTGTGGTTATATAAAGCGTAATGAGGTAACAAACTTACTATAGCATTTATAATATTATTTGAGATTCGAGCTCTTTACAAAATTTTGTTCTTTCAATATGTGAGTCACAGAAATATGTATTAGCGGAAAAAGTTGACGTGACTTAAGACAGATATTTTATTGCAAAAAATAGGTCGAATACTAAGAACATGAACTCCATTAACACATTCAGTGTTGTGTTATTATCAGTTTTATCTATTGGTTTACTTTAGTGAAATTATCTGTATCATTTGAAATAATTAGGTATGTTTTACAATATCTGTTTGTATACAAAGTTAATTGTTTTTATTGATAAACAATCGCTCTAATAAGTTATTTTTATTCGGATCAATAATCTGTATTGAACTTCGCTATCAAGCGCATGTGCGCACGATGGATACGGTATATAATCGCAATGATATGTTTGTCTGTCTGTCCGTGCGGTTGCTGTCGACTAGTATACACGCGTATACAGACACGTATATAACATGAATGTGTGAGCATGTGTGCTGGGCCGTTGTTTGTATACAGAAGCGCGTGTGGGCGCGGCGCGCCTGGTCGCTGACACCGACGATAACCTTCGATGTCAAACGCGCATCGCCTCGGCGAACGGTATCGTACATGATACTTGTATTGGCCCGTGCGACCACTTTGTCTAACCCGCTATCGTTCCTGTTCAAATCTTTCATGTCGCTACTATTATACCTCATCATCAAAACGCGCATGGTACTCATGAGCAAAAACTAGACTCCGTAGAGCCACTCTGGGAAATGAAACCGGACTCTACACCGGATTGCATAGCTTACAGGCCAACTATGTATGTTGTTAGCACCGTAAATTCTGTGAAAAGCTTTTACAAAGTGTCCAGTAAATTCGTTAAAACCATCCAAACCACTCGGTAATTTTATTTATTCAACTAAAATAAATGTTTGTTTTTCTTTTTATTGTAATAATCATTATCTTTAATGTTTCATACAGGTATTTGCCGCCTATATGTTACAAGCAGATTATCCACTTAAGAAAATGTAGGACGATCTACTCTAATGTTTGAAATGAAACTGTTATTGTGGGTGTGTGCGTTGGCAGTATGCAAATCAAACTGATTATATATTAACACTTGTAACATGGTATTTTTTCATGCACTAGAACCCATATTACGGTTACATTAATATGATGATTGTGAAGTATGTCAATTATACTTATTTTTCAGCGATAAAATAATGATAATAATATCCACTAATCTATCAGTTGTAAAAAAATGTCATTTTATGGTTATTTAATTGGATCGTTAAAGAATATTAAGGTTACAATGGAGTTATGATCTCGTTAAATGCTCATGAGGCAAACGTGTTTATGTAACGTGCGAATCGTGTACAATAGATGAACCGGGACCCGAGTATCCCCAGCCATGTCGATGCTCTAGTCGCGGCTCTGGATTTACTTCATCATTGCTATGACCCCCGTTATAACAGAACTGTATAAATGGAATATATGCTTGTCTACGACGTCAATAATAAACGTAAACGCCTACTTTTGTTGTTCTACTCGCGATCGCGGTCAGTGGGCCACGGTAACCGATGAGTATTACCGGAACTTAAATTTCAGTTACCGATGTTAAGTTCAAAAGACCTTGACAGTAAAAACATATATGGTAAATGATTACAGACCAACTTGTATTAACTCTTACGCGCACGTTAAATATTACCGACACACTGTGACTATATTGAGAAATTATTGAATGAGTAATGAAATTTATTACGCAGACGTCCCAAAAATAAGAATTTTGGCACTGCTTAAGTTAATATCAAAATAAAAATAGTTTATATTGCTGTTTTTGTTCAGAAAACGATGACAACAGTTTTTATCAGGTAACGCGTAATCAAAGAACCTGTTACATCACAACCAGTTTACCAATTTACAAAACGTATCGTATCGTATCTTTGCATTAATATAATTGAAATAATATTTACGAAAGAGAAATATTTACTCACAAAAATACAGCTTATATGAAATTAATTCATTGTTTGAAAAATCTAACGTTCTCATTGTTATGTACGTTCCAAAATAACTGTGATAATCAGTGTGTGGGTCACAGAGTAAAAACAAAGCTGCAGCGAGCTGATAATATCATGAGCCAATGTTTTGGTGAAAGTTGTACATCATCGGCAGCTGACCACTGTCACGCAACTGCAAGTAGGTCAAGGAGCTTGCGTAGCCACTGTGACTAAGCAAACCGTATGAATGGCTCAGTTTTAAGCCATACGAATAACCTTATCGATTATAACATTCGCTGAATCTTACTAATATTCGAAGAAATGACTAATAAATATGAAATAACAAATGACAACGGAAATATAGTAAGTGATGCAAAATCGACAACAAACGTCGCAATTACACAAACACACCCACTAATGAAAGCGAATAGGTAACCACTTAAGTCGCCAAGTAGCCAATAAACGGCGAACGCGTTGTAAAGATTTATAAGTAGGTAAACGATATCAGCCAGATTATCATGAAATATAAAAATCTATTCAAATAGATGATCAAATGGCGTCTACGTGTTAAAAACAGCAAAAGCTGGCACTAATAAGGATTATTGAAATAACGGTAAAACGAAGACGTCCAAACTAGTCTGTTACAAACCGGAAAAATAACGTTTTCGGGGCACGTCCGACAACAGCGTTGACACCGTGGTTCACATACTACCTTATACGAGACGTGAATGTAAGCATACATCTGAAACGATCGCATCATTTTGCTAAACATCATATTTGTAATGTTGTTATAGTCATTATAATAAACAACTCCATGTTAGATATCTCTTCCTTTTGTGTAGAGAATATATTAAAGATTGAATTCAAAGTCCAAAGATTGAGTGGCGTCAACTGTTGACTGTAGTAAAGGACAAAGCAGAAGTACTTATCGACAGAGATGTATGTTCAGCGTTACCTTCAGAGCCACCTACATAATGCAGTCTAGTAATTATCGTACAATACTTTTTATACTCATCAAAGTCAACGATAAATGGGGAGTAAATTGACGTTTGAAAATTCATGGACAACCGATAATGATCGTGCTGTCGATGTTTGAAAACGATTTTAGAACGTATCGATTACTAGTCACAGCACTGTTTACTGTTGGTTTTTTAATATTACGTGTATATTGAATTGTTTGTTTGTGGTTACTGGGTCCGTCGTCTGTGCTCACTTTTGAATTTGACCTCAAAATGTACTGTAGTCAATTATTTAACTAGTTGCCCAGTGCCTAGTTGGATTTGTTGTAACTGAGCAAATATTAATTTATGCATCCTTACATGTTAAAACAGAATTTCCTGAGCAAGCCGCGGGCAATAAAGCTAGTAAAGGATAAGACAGAGAAACACTGAAAGACCAAATATAGAACTAATTACCTAATACATACGTTTTACATGTGACATGGTCAACAGCTACGTGTTGTTACATCCTAATGATTACCTAGAAAAGAGAATTCGTTTTGGTAGCAAGAAGAATCAACACGTGGGTTTTGCTGCCCACACATACGCCTATTATTATTACTTCTGTACTAATGACAAATCCTTATTCGATGCCGTTAGATAAAGATCAGGTACCTAAATATATTGTTGTAATCTTTTGTTCTTAAACATATTAATATTGTTAATATTACCTAGTCGTACTTTATTACATTCATAAATGAAACGTGTGATAAAATTAATCACCACGTAATTATTTCCCGCCGTGTCACACTTAGTAATTCCTGACCTACAGAAAAACTACTATCAACTATTTTTTCACTATTTCATAAGCAGTAAAACTTAGCATACTAACTGAACTACCTAGAAATTATTAGATGAGTTGAAACAAGATAAAATTAGGCATTTTGTGTGAATTATCAGAATTAACCTTTCACATAAATATTGCTTAAAAGTTGATACATGTCCCAGACAGACCCGTCTGAAACTTGATAGTAAGAATCGTATGTAATTTCCTACATTGACCGCTTATCTACACGTTACTGCGCAGTACAAGGGAACCTTTTGTATATCGCCATGTTTATTTTTATTACTATATACTCTTAATAATGTTAATCATACTTCCCTAAATGCCTACTGAAGTTGATTATATACGACCTACTTAAATTAAATCTACATCTGTGTA